TCCTGGGATGGCTCATTGGCCAGCCGTAAAAAAGATAATCATGTATATTTAGAAAAAACTAAAAACTACAAATTATACTTCGAAGTTGATAATTTAGAGAATTTGGTACTCTGATGCAAACTTTGCAGAAGACCCAAATGATAGAAAATCAACCTCAGGACATGTAATCATCTTTGGAGTTGGATGTGTTTCTTGGTAAAGCAAAAAACAAGATCGTGTAGCTCAGTATACTATAGAAGCCGAGTATATTGCTTGTAGCATTGCTACAACTTATGCCGTCTGGATTCATAAGATGTATTTTTCAGTATCTTGGACATGAGTGGAAAGGGATAGTATTTTTCAATGTCGTCAACATTGAACTTAAGCTGTTAGGGACTCCCAAAAGGGGGGGTATTTTGCGGTGTCTTGGTCATGATTAGAAAAGTCTCATTAGCGTGAAAAACCCCATGACAAGACTATGTGATTTTTGCACATGAAATGTATAACCGCACTAGTGTGAAAAACCTCATGACAAGGATAAGCTCATTAAAACAGCTAAGCAGCACAGACTTTAAGATATATGAATGTATTCGGCCCTCATGAACAAGTGAGAGATGTTGATGCATCTATGTCTGGTAATTAGCCCTCCACCTCACACATACCATCTATTTTATTTATTTATATTAATTACTATTTATCTTTAAAAGATTTTTTGAGAGAGAAAACCTATTTTCTAATGGATAGTGGATAACTCCCTTATCTCTCAGATATTGAGGGCCACTTCTCAGAGATTCCAGGAAAGAACGCCGGACATTGGAGAACGGCCTCCTCCCATCTCTCTATAAATTTGGGTTTCATGGCCATGGGTAAATACAAAGAAAAGTAAAATAGTTCACAATCGTTCAGGAGAAACCTTGGGCTCTCTGCACAACACAGTCTAGAGACATGGCCAAAGGTAAATACAAAGAAAAATAAAATAGTTCACAATCGTTCAGGAGAAACCTTGGGCTCTCTGCACTACACAGTCTAGAGACATCGTTTACCAAGATATGGGATTTCTTGCGAGTTCTTCACCTCCTTTTATCCAACATGAAGATCATTTACCTTTACATTATCCACATCTCTGCACCATTTTATTTTCGGCCCAAATTGCAATTTGAGCCTATTGAAAATTTACCAACCTCAAAGTGACCCTATTACAAAGGGACTATTTGATTTCTACGATTGCTATCTTTCTCACTAACAAATTGGCCCCAAACCTCAACCCCCCAGCAGAACAAGCTGGGCTCGTTTTTTGCAAAGGTCGGAAGAAGGCAGAAAGGATGAGCGCATCCTAAAACTCCCCTGCTCTCTCTCTCTCTCTCTCTCTCTCTCTCCCTCCCCCTCCCCCCACCCACCCCTTCTAGGGGACAAAAAAAAAGAACCCAAACCCTCTACACGGAATTTGAACTTTCTCTATCTAGGCCAAACCTCTATATGTTGCATTGTTTCTCTCTAAAATGATTCAAGCAATATGATTGATCTAAGTCCATTCTCAGAGAGAAAATTCATCAATAAGAAACCAACCCAAACACCCCCATGACTCCACTGAAAAGCACCTTCCAGAGCTTAACACGAAGCTTCAGGTCTCTCGATGAATTAAGGCTGCTGCTTTGCTTCAAATCCCTCACACCAGTGCCGTCGTGATGCTTCCATTTCTCCCAGATTTACGATTTTGAGGATTTTTCACAAGCTTAAGAAGGTGATTATGGTACCCCACTCTGTTTTTCACATTTTTTTAATTATTTTGTATGTATGTTGGTTTTATGGGGCTTTTGGCACATTGGCCACTGGATAATGCCTCCTCATTATTGTTTTTCTGGGGTTTTGCTCTTTCAGTGCTCATGGGTTAGTGCTATCATGCTTATTGGATAACTTCCCCCATAGTTGTTGGGAGTGGGGGCGATCGGTTGCCTAGGATCAACCCATGGCTGAAGCTCCCAATGTTGGGAGCTCTTGGGAGAGTTGATATATACATGGGTTATTCTAGGCTACACTACTCTAGTGGTGAACTTAAAATTTCCTACTGCGACAAAGTGCTATTTTATATAGAATTGCCTACTACCACAAAGTGCTCTTTTATATTCCAAAATTACTTTTGACTATATATAGTTCATGTATTTTATGACGGGTACCTTCTTCATTCCAAAATCCCTCCAAAATTCAATTTCAAATTTAAAAGGATATCTCTAACTTTTTTAATAATGTTTGAATTCAGAAGCAATTTAAAATTACAAATACGTCTCTTTTCAAATTTCCAAACACGTTCTTGCTATTGCAATTTCTAGTTTGGAAGGGCACTTTGTGGTCAAAAAAATTTAGAGTAGGAAATTCTAAATTCACTTTTAGAGTGTAGCCTTAAATAACCATTATATACACACACACGTATGCATACACGCATGCATGTATGAATGTATGCATGTATGTGTGTATTTATGTATGTATGTATGTATGTATATATGTATGTTTTTTTTTAAAAACGAAATATGTATGTATGTGTCTATATGTTCCGATTTTGTTTTTACAAGTCATTTAAAAATTAAAAAATATATATTCTGCATTTTTAGCATTATCAATATACATGCATGAGAACTTTATAGCCTGAAAGTCCCATAAAAAATCAAGAAAAATGAAACTATAGGCTCATGATAAAAACCGAACTCAAGAATAGTCCGAGTTCCAAATGTGAACTGCACAATTCACTATAGTGAACCACCTAGTTTTGGACAACCCAATGACTCCCTCATTTGGGACCATCGGGGACAGGGAACGCCCTCGAGTCCAAGCCGACTTGGATGATTCTAGGTCAGCTAGCCAGGTTTCAACCACTAATGCAAACCACAAAGGTGCTAGCAAACAATTTGCTGATAACTTTGAGATCTGCATTGGAGAAACTAGAAAGAGAGACAAGATTCCTCATTGCAAAGTGAAAAATCAATTCAGATTTGTGATTCTTTGACTTCCATTGATATTCAAGCAATGGAAGTGACTCAACAAACAATGGTCATAGTCTCATTGAAGATCAAATCCTCAATTTAATGAAGCAATGGACTACTACTTATGAGGAATCAAGAAGAAAAGCTTCTGCTTATCATTTTTTCCTAATACCTTTTGTGGACTGTAGTTTTCATGTTGATTCATCGAAGTGGGTCCTTGCATACCTCTTATATTCTCATGTGAAAGGAAGTTGAGAGATGCCAAGTAAAGGATATATCGGTTGTATACATGCAATCCCTGTGCATATGTGCATGCATATGCTTAAAGAGGAAGATCCCAGATACAAATGTGCTTTGAAAAAGGACACTCAAACAATCCAATGGATACAAAGAACACCCAAATGCATCTTTCTTTCTTTCTTTTTTCTATTTTATTTTTGGAAACTGTCCCAATTGCAGTTCAGCACTAAAATATTAAACACCCTCAGTCAGCAACTGACAATTCCTCACTGTAATTAGGAAAATAACAGTTTGAAAATTTGACAGAAAATTTTCAGATTTGGAAATCAACAAATGCCCTAGAGCTGTTTTGATTTGTATTTAGGGAGATTTTCATTTTAATTTCAGATTCGTCACAAGCCCCATATTTTCTCTTTTAGTAGTAGAATCAACAGAAGCCTCTTGAATACTTTTGCGGAGAAACAGTTTCTGCCCATTTGGCAGGATGTGCCCACTAACTAGACCTTTAAAGCAAGAGTTAATTTCTTCTTCAAAAAAAGAAAGAAAAGAAAACAGTAATTAGAGCGCAGTATAGAAACAATAAAAGAGAGAGAACAATAAGTTATGTTCATCAGTGCAAAATTTATGCTACCATGGCCTGAAACTGTAGAGGCAGATTCGACATCATAAAAATGAGTATGCATATATTCATCAAGGGACTCACTGGAAAACAAAAGAGAAAACTCATCACCAATGCCAACAACTTTCTCAGACACACTCAATAAACAATAAATACAAAGTCTGTGATAACCAGAAACTAAACAGAATTCGATATAATTTTGTACACAAACGAGTATCCGGTACCTTAATGTTGATCATAAAGGGGACTGCATTGTGGGTGTGTTGTTGCACAAAGAAGAGCCCAATAGAGGGCTCATTAGCCAGTTGCTTTATCATCTCAGCAATGCTTTCATTCACTGAAAATTCACCCAATTTTTCATAAATAACGAACTGTGATGACAAAAACCCTAGAAAAATGAACTCATATCAACTTTTCCTCTCCATGAATCCACTTGTTTAGATGGATATAAAAATAGTACGTGAGGATAGAAGATTACCCTCCATGAAGCCATCGACGGTCGAGAATCCAAGCATCGTGTTGATGGGGAGCACCCTTTCATCACAACATTTCAGGGCCGGAATTCACGTAGATTGAACACGAAGAATACGACGTAGGGTTTAGAGAGGAGATAAGGGGAGAGCTAGAAAAGGCCCCTACCACTCCCAATGATTCACCTGCGTGCGTTAGAGACTTGATTTGAGGACTCTAAACTTTCAACAAATCCTAAAAAAAATTATGTTATCACAATATAAAACATATCACATATTTATAAAACATATCACATATTTATTCGGGGCACGCATATTTATAATACATTTCACCACTTTATTCGGAGCATACAATGAAACAACAACAATGATACTCAACACAAAAATTGTATCAGTAAATAACAAGAACGGTAAAGCAGTTAACTTAAACAAAACCCAAAGACCCAAATATGTAAATTAGTTATGGATCTAAAATATTATGTTGTATACATCAAATAAATAAAAATTAAAAATATGCAATGAATCAAACTTCTCAATACAAAAATGAAATAACAAAATTCTCAAGAAAATTTAAATCTCACACTTAATTTCTAGCTATCGGTTAAAAGAAAGGGCAAGCTTTATGTGCTTCTCCTACAAGATAAAACTTATATACTTCCCTTTGTCTAACCGTCCCTTTTGAATAGAGGGCTAAGATTGCCTCAATCACAATGTTACGTCTATACACTATTTTATTTTTAATTTTTTTTCTACAAACTATTTTAACACCAAATTTTGTATGTCTAATCCTCTATTAAACTCACATTAGCAAAAAATATAAAAAAAATATTATAATAATATGAAATGACCAAAATACCTCTGAAAATTTTAATGGGTATTTTGGTCATTATATTTTATCAAAAAATTATTTTTAATATTTTTTATAAGTGCGCCCCAATGAGATGATGTCACTTATCAAATTTCATATTCATACAATTTATATTTAAAAAAAAACTAAAAATAAAATACTTTGAGACGTCGGATCTAAGATCAAATGGTGAGTGGCTCTCTTGATCAAAAATGGACAGCCGGGTGGTAAGGGAAGCATAAATCGTCTATGTTGTAGGGGAAGTATAGAAACCTTTCCCAAAAAAAAAAAAAGTATTGGGATACTTTTCTAACTTTGCATGTTACTTTGATATGGGTGCAGTTGGCCTACGGATGCATCTGTAGCGGTAGAGGTAAAGTGCACCATCAAATTGTATCATGGTATATAATTTGATGAAAAATGTTCTTAGGATTATCTCAAAAGCTATTTTTTATATCTAATTATAAAATTTTAAATTTAAAAAATGGTTAAAATCAAGTAGATTTATAAACATATGAAAATCTTGAAACTGAACGGTGCAGATAATATATTGTAAAATGCACTATTTCTAAGACTTCAAATCTTTTTATTTTTCATGTTCATACATCTCAATGTCGAGATGATCAACCAAAAGGTTTTTCAACATTAAAACTATATTTTCCAATGGATTTTTGAGATACATCCATAGTTCTACATTATAAGGTTGCATCCTTATATAAACTTTTTCCTTTTGATATATATGATTGTTTTGATATCTTATTTTTTTGGGAAGTATTTTTCGTATACCTTTTTTAAAGGAACTTATTAGTGAAATTTTTGTTGAAATTTTCTTTTAAATCAAGATTTTTAATTTACGGACATTATCAGTAAGCTTATCTTTAAATTAAAATTCAATAATATTAAGTTAATAAAGAAATAATGTTACAGTGAAGAAGTCTTTTTGAGACATAATTTTTGAAAAAAATATAAAAAGCAGGTTTATGTAAGTGCCGTTAAAAAAACACAAATTTTTGAAGGTCATTTGAAAAACTCATAGGTATTTCGAAAAAATCAGTTTTCGAAAAAATCTTGTTTTAAACATAAGACTTGTTGACTATGAGAAAGAGTATAATTTCGGTTTGGGGAAAGAGAGAGTATGGTTTCGGTTTGGGGGAAGAGAGAAGTACGATTTCGGTAGGGGAAGGGAGAGAATATGATTTCGGTTTGGGGAAGGGAGAGAATATGATTTCGGTTTGAAGAAGAGAATGATTTTCGTTTGGGAAAAGAGAGAGAGTATGACTTCGGTAAGGGGAAGAGAGAGAATATGATTCGGTTTTGGGGAACAGAGAGACTATGAATTCGATTTTGGAGGAAGAGAGAGGAAGTATGAATTCGGTTTTGAGAGAAGAGAGAGAAAGTATGAATTCTGTTTCGGGGAGAGAGAGAGTATCAATTCGGTTTTGGGGGGAAGAGAGAAAAATTGGATAAATTAGTTACAATGATAGAGTAAGGAACTAAGGGGGTGGTGGCGCAGTTGGCTAGCGCGTAGGTCTCATAGCTTCGTGAGAGTGATCCTGAGGTCGAGAGTTCGAGCCTCTCTCACCCCAATTTGCAGTTGGTTCCATGGTCTAGTGGTAAGGACATTGGACTCTGAATCCAGTAACCCGAGTTCAAATCTCGGTGGAACCTTCGTTTTTTTGCTTTTTTTCAAAAAGAGAAAAAAGTTCACACCCCATTTATTGTTTTTGTTTTTCTTTTGTAAGTTTCTACTTTTCATATCTAATTACATGCTCCATTTGGAGTGCGTTCCATGGTCTAGTGACATTGGACTTTTTAAATCCAGAAACCCGGGTTCAAATCTCGGTGGAACCTTCTTTTTTTAAGTTTTCAAGTATTCCAAAGAGAAAAAGGTTTATAGATTTCTCTTGTGAGATGTTTGTATGCTCCAATTCTACATCACACCCCTTTTTTTTTTTTTCTTTTTGGAACGTTCTACTTTTCACATCTAATTACATGCTCCACTAGTAAATCAACTTCAATTTTTTTAGACAGCATGCTTTTCATATGAGATTGTCATCGATTGTAATATTTTTCAAATATTCAAAAGATAAATTTTTTTCTAGATTTCTCTTGTGAGAAGCTTTGTGTGCTCCAATTGTACATCACACCCCATTTATTGTTTCTTTTTTAAAGATCTATGTGATCTTTTATCGGAGAAAACATATTTATTTTTTTTTATTTTTTTTTTCACCTCTTTCTTTTGGCAAAAGATTACTTACAAGTGATCTTTATTATAATAATATAAATTTCAAAATAAAATCAACATAACAATAAAATTAAGATCTTAACAACTTGATGCTATTGAAACAACTATACACTATGCTTGAGAATAAAAGATAATATTACAAGAAACAAAAGGAAGAGTGTCGGAGATTACTTTAACCACGCTTATTACACCCCACACCTTGTCACCACCATCAGATGGCACAGAATCAACAGTCTAGCTTTAATCTCGAACCGGGAAAGCAAATTTCAACCAAACCACACCAATGGAACATGAACCCATTTGATCATAAACTCAAACCCTAAGTGAATTCTCTTAACAACCTAGTTTGAAAGAGATGGATTCTCTTTTTGGTAAACCCTAAAACCCTTAGTCATAAATCCATATTTGAGAAATAGAAAGAGAAGAACTGCATAACCTAAACACTTAGGTTCTTTCATAATGTGGGAAAGAGAGATCAAAAATGAGAGAGAGAAAGTTTCTTAAGAGAGAGAAATAGAAAGTAAAGTGTAGAGATTTTTTTGTAGAGACAATCCTTTTTTATAGGCATTGAATAAGATTAGGGTTTCTTAGGGTTTTCTTTAGTTTAAATCTTCTTGTGAGGTTGAACATAGACCGTCGATCAAGGGTGACTTGTGGGGTGAGAGATCTGAGTCATCCATTCCATAGATGGTTCATCAACATTATGGAAACTACATGAACCATTATCTCACTTTCCTAAACCATTTTCCCATCAATCGAAATTAAATAAATTAAATCTAATCAAAATATTATGTATACCATAAAATAACACAAGTCTACTCAATCTTTCCATAAAATCTTTCAAAGATATATCAAGTCAATATTTAGTCAATATCTTCCAACCATATGACCACATGCCATATCATCAAAAAATAGGAAAGAGAATAAGGGTGGGGTGTGCCACTCAAGGGAGGCACTCATGGGCCCCACCTTCTAAAAAATATGGCGGGCCCATGTGCATAATGAACCCCTATAATATTTTTATATATTTAAAATCAATAAAATGATTTTAGAATATTATTTGAATATTTAAATAATTATAAAATTAATATCTTTAATTTTATAAATCCAAAAATTATAAATAAAATGCCCAGGGGTTCATAAAAATTCAAATAATAATCTTAAAATAATTTCATCATAAAACAAATACAATTAAATTAATTTGATGGGAAAATGATCCATATGGTTTAAGAATCAACAATCATGGGGCACTCCACCTTCAACTGTGGACTACAGACTACACTTGCTTTAGCAGACCGACCCAGTGTTTTCCATGACCCACAGTCCAAGCAGGGACTCATTAGCGGATCATCACAGTTCGGCCCATGAGCCAAGGGATCGCAATCCCACTTTGTGGATTTCAGATCCTCCCTTAGAGACAAGTCAGGGTCACCAAGACCTTATGCGACCACAGCTCTGTGGCGCATAGGGATATCTCTCGCACATGCATAAGCTTCACCCTAAAATGTTGATTTCTGGTTTTTTCGAACGATTTCTCGATATGCATGCCGTGTGATGGTACATGGATGAGGTTTTGGCCCCTGTCTCTGTAGGCCACCATCACACATAAGGGTCACATAGTCCTTCGGCTCACTCATCCGGGCATATTCTCCGACCTCATCAAGGGCTAACCCATTAGAACCCTTCTCGGTTTGTTCTTTATGCCCAAGTAATATGGGTTTTTTCCAACCGACTGGCCTAGGTCGTCAAGCCAAGTCCAGTATCTGCAAACATCATTTGCTTAGTATGGCCCACGAAGGACCACACTCCCACGTAGTTCATATTCTATTATATCATTTCATTTTACTAGCACTCATAAGGCCTTTAAAGGCCACATGAACCCAACAATTACATGTTCCACTAGTAAATCATCGAAACTTAAATTTTTTTGGAAAGCATGCTTTTTTTATGAGATTGTCATTGTTTGCAATTAAAATAAATTAAAACCCCTTGCAAAAGATAATTGTTTGATGAGATAGTCATTGATTATAATTAATAAAACCCCATTTCAAAGAACAATTTTTCGAAGCTCAAATGGAATCTGAAGAGATAAGGGGTTAATAAAAGAAAAAAAGTTTATACAAGGAGGTAACCTTATATTATATACGTAAAAGCCACAAGGAAAGATTGTTTTGGCGCTGATAACCCATCTAATTGATGATTTCGACTTTGAGATGTGTGAATATGAAATAAAATAAAATATTTCAAGTCCTAAAAAGAGTGGATCTTGCAATAGATTATTTGAACCGGTCAAATTCAAACTTTTCATGTGTTTATAGATATGCTTGATCTGTACCATATTTGAAACTTAATTTTATAATTAGGGATGGAAATAAATTTTCAAGTCATTATAAAGCTTTAACATCAAAACCATATCTTTCAACAAAATCTAAATCTACATCTCACTTTTATTGTTTAAGGTGGATACCTCAAGTAAACCTCACCCTAACTGGGAAAAGGGCCGGGTTGTGGTGGTAGCACCCCCACACCTTAATCACCATATTGTGGTCTCCATTTCTACTAACACCAACCCACTAACACGTTGAAGAATACTAACTCCTAAACCATTTGAAAAAATAGGTAGGGACCCTTCTTCCCTATTGAATTACTCAAAAAAACAAAAAAAATCACCCTAACAAAGAGTGGCAACGCATGCACGTGTACCCTTCTCCGCTTTAATGTGGCTCATACATGTCCAAAACCACTTGACCAAAGGATTAGTCCAACTACTTTTGCATGTTTATTTTCATGGGGAAGTAATATGACTTTAGTTGGGAAAGCATTTGTCAACATTCCCCAATTTTTTTCTTTTTTATTGGTAAAAAAAAAAAAACATTGCCCAACTTTTTCCATTAGATGTACTTGGATGGGCAGTTCACAGTTGGGCACTGAACATGGTAAGGTATAGAAGCGCTTCTCGAGGCGGTATAAAAGCTGTGCACAAACTTTCCCTAGCCTCTAGAAAAGGACTTTCAATAATAAAAAAATGCCCTAGATATCAGTGTTTTCACCACCAGGTCACTTCAACTGCATAGTTCCCTCCGGTGTAAGAAAAATCATGCAGTTTAAATTCCAACTGTACGGATAGATCGGAATCGGCTATTAACCAGCTTTGATGACCGAATAATTTTAAAGAAATAAAAAAATTATATAAAATTTTAAAAAATAAAGGATTTTGTTTGTAATGTATTTTTAATATTTTTTATTTGAAAATTGTTTTGGCCACTAATAATTACTTTTATATTTTTTAATCTTTTTAAAAAGTAAAAATATCTTTTATTTTTGCCAACTATTTCTCGTGAGACCCAACATTTAAATTATTTTTGGCAACATAAATTCTCATTGTTTTCTATCTTCGAACCCCTTAGACCCCTTTGACAATGTAATATAGACCTAAACAATTTGTAAAATGACTCTTTCATTTAATCAAAATCCCATTAACCCCTTAATGTATACCGTAAATCAAGAAACTGGAGGTCAAGTTGCTCAAAGGCTCCAGCCCAAGCATCTGGAAGTCAAGAAGTTGGAGATCACGTTAAACATCTTTATGGTTGCAGGAAACGACGAGTGCTCGAATTCAGAGTTTGCATTTGGCCCATTTGGTTTGCTTATCACTGTTCTTACACCACAGCAAAAACCACATTTGAAACTTCTAACACAATTTAGACAACCCCCATATACATCAATACAGAGGAAATCACAGCAGCATAACAACATTTAGATGGATTAAGGCAAGAAACCCATCATTAAAGAAAAAACTAGATGATCCCATACGGCTTTGCAATGAAAGAGGCAAAGTTTAGTTTATAGAGAATGTGAAAACATGATGAAAGAAAATTCTAAAAGAATAGCAGCTTAAAGAAAATTCTAAAAGAATAGCAGCAGCATAACAGAGAAAGTGACCACATACTACTATCCATGAGAGAAAGAGAGAGAGATGATGGGTGGATGGCTCTACGATTTGGACATTAGAGAGAGAGAGAAGAGAAAGACCATGGGAGGGTGGGTCTCTACGATTTGGGTATATTAAAGAGAGACGATAAGAGGATGGATCTATGTGATTTGGGTATTTGAGAGAGGAGAGATACGATTAGAGGGTGGGTCTATGCTATTTGGGTATTTGAGAGGAGAGGAGAGGAGAGAGCAACAAAAGATGGGTCTTTGCGATTTGGGTATTTGAAAGAGATGGGTCTTTGCGATTTGGGTATTTAAGAGAGAGAGCATAGGTTATTGGTTAAAGGTTATTGGTTAAAGAGACAAAAGGTTTTAATAAAAGTCATTTCATGAATTGTTGAGATCAATAATACATAGTTAAAAAGGTTAAAAGATAGAAAACATGAAGACTTTATATACCATAAAAGATAATATAAACTTATTTTTATTATTTATTATTTTTCAACTTCATTTGAATGTATTTTATTTAATCACGCATTAAATATGCTTTTCACATTTTATTAAAAAAAAATTGCATTTTTTTCATTTCTTTTAAACTTTTTTTGACCGCCCAAAACTTGTCTAGTTAGACCGGTTGAACTGGGCAGTTTACCGGCCTCATATCCTACTAACCGTTCCGGTTCGATTTTTCCTACCCTGATACCTTCATTCAATTTCCAATTTTACACATCCCTCTCTCACAGATTGACTCTCACCAAATTCGATTCTCTCAACGTCTTTGCTCTTCAACCGAGGAAAATAGCTCCTTCAACAAGGGAGAGAAGGTTTTTGTTTGCCTCTTTGAAATGCGGATGAAGGAACTAGACGAGGATCAGGCTACAACTACAGCCACCTGCACTGTTCATACAAATGGGAGGCACAAGTTGGATACGCCTTTTATTGAAAGCTTACCAAAAGCCCTAGTTCCTCCTCCATCTTGAATAAGGGTAATTTGGGAATTTTTATAAAAGTGGCTCAATAGCGGCCCTATACAGATTTGTCTTCTCACCCCCTCATATTTTGGGTTTGAATTCTCGAAACAAATCAATAATAATCTTAAGACACAATCCACGCATAACAAGTTCAATTTACCATTTTTTTTAAAGAAAAAAAGAACGTAATAACTTAAATTGTTATTGCACTACTAAACCGTATCAAGAACGGCAACCTGAGTAAACCTTTTCAGCAGAAACAACATCTGATTGCTTCTTCACTTCAGTAAGACACGCTTCAAGCTCTCTGTATTCCTCAGTACCCGAGAAGATCTCAGCCTGGAATACAACCAAACAAACTTATATGCATATATCATATACAAGATAAGAATCTCCAACTTTTCCAGGAATTCCGGTAGCATCAAGTCATCACCATCATCAAACTTGATTCGACCATCATTGCATGGAATTACTGGAAAACTAGGAGATTATGTACATTGATGGCAGAATCAAGTTCATTAGTTATATTAGTATGTAATACAAACACGTAGTGGCCCTAAACCCCGACTACTTAGTCTCTATATACTGGCAATACAGCTTGAAAAGTTGATGTTTCTTTGTTATGGCAATGCATGTCTGCGCATGCATTCATTACAAAAATAGGTGAAAAAAAGTGGGCATGTGTGCGTGTGCATGCGAGAGAGAGAGAGGGCCTTATTTGTCCATCTTGATTACAACAAAGTTAGTTATGGGCTACATTGAGCGAAACCGAAGAAAAAAAAATTTGTGCCCATATTCATTGCTCTCGAGGACATTCCAAACATGTTAATTGCAATAAAAACCATCAGATTTCAGAAGCATAAGGAATATCTTTTTCCTTTGGAAAGCAAGACGCCAGCAATCCTCGACATCCTACTGCAAATTATTATGTAGTTCCATAAAGAAGTTTTTGGGCATCTCTCTCTCTCTCTGTGAGACAGAAAAACATACTGCAATTACCGGTGGGAATCTTACCTGCTTCACTGCATTTCTCAGATGCATCTCTGCTGTTGTCAGCTCTTTACAACTACCAGATGATGAGGCTATTTCCATGTATATCTTGCAAAGTTGCACAGAAGCGCGTGCAAATTTCTTAAACTTCTCCTCATTATGCCACAGATCAGATCCCTGAAAGAAACAGCCAAGGCTCTATTGGTTCCTTGGGCTCCGTCCAGTACCCACTTTGCATAAGGTAGGTCAATGGTTTGAAAAATGCAGTTCAGCAAATCACACTAACCTACAAATGTTTTCAGAAACGTAGGTTCTCATATAAGAAAAAAAACTACTTTTTGTAATATTACAATACATATATGAGCAAAACAGTATTTTTTGTTATATATTTTACTTTTTGTAATAATATATATATATATATATATATATATATATAGAAAGACTTAAAAACGCCTATGGGCGAATTTGAAAAGTGTTTCACCCTGCAATAGACATAGCATGTCCGTTGCGGTTTATACTGAAAAACTGCAACGGCTCTACAACACCCGTGGCGTAATCCCATGTTTTTTTGCATGAAAAAACCCTGCAACGGACATGCTATATCCATGACGGTCTTTTAATCCACGCTGTCCAAAAAAATCGGACGGCGCCAAGCTTATGGGCAAAAATACTGTTCATTTTTTCCCATAGGCATTGTGTAGTCTCTCCCATATATATATACACAATGAGATCATTGTACTTTTGATAGGAGATCACAATCATCATTGATAGTTAGATTTAAAATTCTGTGGGGATGTATCATTGCTTGGGCACAAGTCCAAAATAAAATTTCTCGAATGTTGTAACCCACTTTCATCTATTGGATTCCACATCCAATGGTTAAAAGTGATTGTGACCTCCTTTTACAAAAATAAACGGTCTCAAAGTATACAATTTCATATATACAAGAACCATGAGTTTCTCAATCTACAGGTACGAAAACCAGTCTTACTATGTGTATTGTGTGACAATAGTCTCCGCATGACCAAGATGAATTCCCATTTTACAGCCACAAACATATAATGCAGGGGCAGTACCACATTCCAAGGGACTAAAGAAAACTCCTAGCAATTTCGTCTTCAATAACTACTTTAATGCACGGTTTCTACTCTCTCGACCTACATCCATTTCAATGGACAGTGATGACCTTGTGGACTACGGCTGCTCCATAGTTCAATGGATTCTAGTATAGTTTCCCATTATGTAACACTCTATCCGATGCAACAGCATGCTGCATCTTTCTATTATCTTCGATTGTTTCCTTCTGTTTCAATGGGGTTTGAAAGCAACAGTCCAATATCAAATGTACATATTTGCATAGCATATTTTAGAGCAAAACCTGATATGATCTAACTTGCTTCAAGAGTGCTTCAGAACACATGGTAACATCCCCCCTAATTCTGTGCCAACGAGCATATAGGCCCCATATTTCTCCTCCTCCATTACTCCGAATAACCTGCAAAAAGAAGGATATAGAAATAATGTCATGAAACATATTAAATAGATTGTCAATGTAAATAAAGATTCTACGGTAAAGAAATGAATGACAGAGCAGAGCTGGAAATGCATAATAAATTTAAGACCTGCAAAAGAGGCAACAAAAAGGAAATTTGCTCTGAGCAGATGCAGGGTATAAGAAGAGGTCTTGGACTGTGCAACTAAGATGTCTTTTTCAATAAATTTGTGAGAATATATTTTATAAGAAAAGTAAATTATCATTCCCATACCTGCTGCAAAACTTTTCCAAGCATATCCAGCAAGTGGTCTGTTATCCTTGTACTTGAGTTACTAGAATCCACATGTCTTGAATCATTTGCACATTCACCAGATGGCTCCTGATCAGTTTCAATAGTGGATGCATGAGCTTTAGTTGAGTGAGCATCAAGAGTCGGCTGGGATGTTCTTGCTTCCATCTCCAACATCAGTCTTTCTAGCAAGTCCACATTCACTCGTTTGTTGCCAGTCAGATCCAACACAGTTTTGGTAGCTTCTATGGCCTGCAGAAAGTCCTTCTATAACATGACCATAAATTGGCTCAAGTTTCAACATAGAATATGAAAATGGTGCACCTCATTTCAAGTACCGAAGACAGCATAATATGTAAAGCATGAGTTTCCTTTGTGCCTATCGCCACGTATGTATTCATTATGATATGGGCCTGTCTGGATTACAACTAATTCTATCATAGTTGGCTTACTATATCCCGTATAAATTTTTTTTGTTCGCTGTTCGGCAGGTAGTAGTACTACTATACACAAATCTATCAATTATGTTATATGTTGTTTGGATGAGGTCGCGGGAGAGAAAAGAGAGAGAGAGAGAGAGAGAGAGAGAGAGAGAGAGAGAGAGAGAGAGAGACGACTACTCCTCCTACTACTACGTACGTACGACCACCTACCTAACCTAACCTTACCGTACCTACCGTACTACGTACTACTACGACTACGTAC